TGTACTACCAGAGCTGTTTTTTTGCTTCTTGCTGTCCCTCCTTGTTACCTACTTGTGAAGGAAAAGCCACAGAAGTACAAAAACAAGTCTCTCCTGCAACTCGTAACTGTGTCAAAAAGGGGTGGGGGGAGGGGAAGCTGTTACTGAGCAGTTCCACCCTTCCAGATGTTTATACTGAACTTCCAGATGTTTTCCTTGCATTTATTGCTTCATTATAATGAGCAAGGGACTATCTTCAAACACAGTGAGACTCCTTTAAACCAAAACAGTTTATACAAAAAGAACCTTCACTTTTTTATCTCTGCCCACATTTGTTTCCAACTCTTACAGATTAAACCACACTCCTACAACTGAAGTGGATGGTCTTACAGGCGGAAAGGCCTAAGCATCTTCTCCAGTTCCCAGGGATTCTAAGCAGAAGTAGTCCGCAATTTGCTGTTTGCTCTCCCAGCATGCTGGAGGGGTGGCAATGGTGTTCATGCCCCCCTTTGTCCAAACACTACTGAGAATCCACCCCATATAGAAGGTAAATAAGAGGGATTGATAAATGAAGAAAAATTCAACTTGAATTGGGCATTATCTTAGTATCATCTCTGTACTACATGCAAGAAGAATTGTTGCTATTATTATTTCAAAGTTAGGTATAAAACCTGAATATCATATTCTCAGGATAGCAGTTTTCTGCCCTGTCACAAGGAAAGCTATTAGCTAATTCCTATGAAAGAAGACTAGCAATACCATTTCAAATTTTTATACAATCTGCAGGAGGACCATGCACCATATGTAGTTTTCTTCTTCTGTTCTTCTTCTATCTTCTTCTATTATTTCTTCTGTATCGTATGAGATACAGAGAAACAAGAGAAAGGGTAAGTGTAAATTCTAAGTAGAGAAGAGTGCCAAATGACACGTATGGAGGCATACGTGCAGAAGAGTTCTCTTTATTTTAAAAATGGGAGCTGACAAATTAAGGATCAGTGCTTAATTAGCATTTAGGTAGGAGAATATACAGGCTAACTTTCCAAAACTTGTAATCATCAGGTACCTACTTACAAATGCATGCACAAAAGAACCCCTAAAAAGCCATTCCTCCACGACTTATGGCAGGTCTTCATAGTCAAGAGCAGAGCTAGTACTTCAGCCCAGAGCTCTGAAAACCTCTTCCAGCGGTTTGATCATGACTTCCTCAAACAGCAGTTAAGACATTGCTAGTTGCCATTTTTTGGAACAAACCTACATTTGTCCCAGTCAAATGCACTCAGAGTTTAACGATAGCCTCCACTAGGAAGAACAGTTTAGCTTTGTCCTTAAACCTAAGCAACATGGATAACAAGAAAAGGCGAGAATGGGAGGGTGGACACCAGCTTTAAGCCTGCTGTATCTGCTAGGTTTCTGCATGTTTCCTTGGTTGCGCATTTTAACTTAACAAATACTAGTGGTGAAACGCAAAGTGTCATTGAATTTCAAGCCAACCCAGGCACAATTTTATGGGTATTTGTGGTACACAGATCAATTCTGCCTAAGTCCCAGTGCAAAAGAAAGGCATGTTCTAGAGAAAGAGCTTTATGTTCTTTGTTACATTCAAAAGATTTCAAAAGGAGCCTTGTTAAAAGAAAAAGGGCTCAACTATGAAATCACTTCCTTCTGTTTAAAATATTTTACTCAAGGAGAAAAAAACAAAAGGGCATGAAAAGAAAAGAAAAAAAAATCTGTTCTCTGCTTTTGACTTGCTTGTAGGATTCAATATCCTACGAGCTCTGTGCGATGACGCAGTGTGCCAGATCCCGACCGCTCCAGCCAGAGTGTCAAGCTGCCTTAGTCATTAGCCAAACAATGAGCCCTCTTATGAAAGGCGATTGGCTTCCACCTCACACATGCTGACAGCATCACCATCAGGAGAGGATTTTTCCTTCCCCTTTCGGGGTGGCTCTTGTCCTCTTGGAGTAAGGCAGCAAGACACAGGGAAGACAGGCAGTGTTAGGCAACTAACAAACAAGAAGCTGTTGTGTCAATTTCCTCCCCCTCCACCACCACGCAAAGTATAGCATGGATAAAGAAAGGGGAAGAGATGATGATCTACATTCACAAGTGAGGCTTTGCTCCTGAGAACAATTAATAAGGTGACAGCTTCAGAAAGACCAGTTTATGTAAGTTTAAAAGCTAAGTAAATAGTTCATTGCTGTCCAAACTGCAATGGGAGTTACTTATGGGTGAGCAGCATTTTAATATAGATACTAAAAAGAGGACTACTTTGCTTTTCTCTGTGAATGATACAGGTTTCCCATCACCAGTTTTATCTGATTGTTCCCAAGGTACTCTCCCTCTCCTTCAAAACTAAATGCCTCCTGCTGTCTAAGGGGGTGACACACATCAGCCCCCTTCTCAGTTCAGCTGCTGGGCATGAAAGGGAGGAGAGGAGGTCTTAAGAGTAAACTGAAACATTTCCTTTTCCTTCTCCCTTCAGCAAGGAGTTGAGTTCTGCCTCAAACAGTGATATATTACCCTGCTCTGGATCATTAAATAAGGCACAGTTCTTTTACTCTGTATTACTGAAGTTTATTGATACAAAAAAAAAAAAAAAAGCCAGATGGCATCTGATAAACATTCTGCAGGCTTCTCCATGCAGCCTCAGAGACCCACCTTTTCTGCCTTTCTCCTCTATCTTTGCAAGAATGCATTCAGGAAGTACTACACTTGAAACTAAATCTTTCTCTCGTGAAAATTTTAAACCAGACTTGCAAGCAGACTTTAAGCAGTATAAGAGCACCACGTTACAGGCTGACTGCACTGTCTACTCCAACCTGAGACATCTAAACAGAGCTTCCAAGTGATGTTTGTTTATTCTTAAAACCACAAACTATCCCCCCAAATTCAGCAATACAGGAAAGCACTTATCTTCCTGATGGCAATGAATGAGCTTGTCCCACGGATCAGCTAGCAGTCAGCATAATATCCTGATGTATGAAAATTTAGCATCCCAAGACACTGCAGATGCCCCTGCTTCTGCTTCTTGTCTTCAGGCTATTTTTTTTAAAGCTGTTTTTCTGTCCTCTTTATCTGGCAGCTGAGTATCACAGGTGATATGGAGATGAAAGTATTGCTACTTCTTTACTGTGCAGTTGCAATGCTAAATGAAACAAAGAGTGTGTGTTCTGAAATGCCTTTGAGCAGAGAAAGGCCTTGCAAAACCAGTCAATGGAAATAAAAAAATAAATCATTTCTGTCTATGGCTCTATGACTTAACTTCTCCAACCAAAGAAACCAGCTGCCTTGAAAAAACTCCCTTCCAAAATAATACTGAAGTAGGGGGCAAGCTGACTGGAAAAGAACTGTCTCTTTTCAGGTTAAAAAAAAAAAAAAAGAAACTCCCACCAACCTCAAAGAAATCTCAAAGGTTTATTTACTACGCTTTTGCACATCTAGATCCAAATAAAGAATGAAGAATGTGGCTGCCTGGCAGCTCCTCTGTTCTCTTCAAACTATAGTCAACAGATTTAATAAAATAAAACATTCCTTTTCCCTATAAATGGTGCCTTATGTAGATTAGAAGAGCTGCCAAGTCAGAGTGTGTGCAAAACCCTATGAGTAAATTTAACTGCATCAGTAAACAAAAAAATGAGAAGGTCCTGTTTGAATTTTGCAGAAAATTTCAACGTGCACTACATGCAGTCCTGACAAATCTTACTGAAAATAATCTAAATGAGGAATCCGAGCTGTTACTGAACTACATCAGCAATTAAATTTGAGTCACCAATAGCCCGACTAATGCTACTTAACCTCTGGAGTTGTTCCATTGTTTCCAGAACAATACCTGGGGAAAAAGAAAGTAACATACTTAATATTCTACCTACACCTCTACTGTTGCAGCCACACTGGGTCCAATCCATCTTCAGAGTAACCGCTGCTCATATCAACAGGAGAAACGGGAAGAGTGCAGTGACTAGTTATACTTCCAACTGCATATATAGCTCTAGTCCCATGCATGCTTGGTAATAACTACCAAGTGCAATTTATTCATTGACTTTTATTTGCTTACTCTTACACCTCTGCATAGTACTGATAAAAGTACTATTTACCACTACTTTTTTTGTGTGTCTTTAAAGTCATACTCCTCACAGGATATATTCCGCTGCTTTAGGAACAGCGGTTCATCCAAAAGGGAGAACGAGGATCCATTTCCTAAAATGTCTGTAAAACCTGAGTTTTCTTTATTTTCAAAACCCCTCATCTTGACTTTTGCATAGAGAATCATGCAGGTAGGGAAGGGTAGATTTTCAAATCACCAGGCGGTCAGAAGAGGCTTTGCCCACCGCGCTACACTCCCTCACAAAACTCCCACAGGTATTCTTTCCCTGAAGAGACACACAAGAATACAAGTCATCAACGGCTGAACAGGTTAGTCAACTACACAGTTCTTATTCTGGTTAAAAAGTAAGTTACTATGTCAGGCAGCAAAATGCTCCTTCTTGAACTAAGGTAAGAGCTGTTATACGAAATTAGAGCTCTGTAACTATCTTGCCTTGTTGATGCAGATAGTAACTGCGAGAAAGCACAAGTTACAGTGCCAAGCCATGGAAATCAGGATAGCAATGCAAGAACTAAGGCAAAGCTTTGGTCTTGGCAGATTGGGTACAGTTGCATCTATGGACCAGGATACAAGGGCAACATCACCATGCCACCGGGGCTGGCATCCCAAGGGACCTGGGTAGTGTGCTGGTGCACCCCACAGCTGGGAACACTGCCTGGGACAAAGGGACAACCAGCATCCTCCCAGGCTACCTGCTGCTCACTGTTTGCAACAACAAGGTGCAGAACAAACTGCATGGAATATCACCAGGGGGTGGTGCCCAAAATCCAGGCTGTGTTTTTGCACAAGATAACTGAGAGTTCCAGATCAAAGCGGGTGCAGCCAGCCACAAGAAAAGAGGAACCCTCTGACTTCAAAATGTGTCACGACATTTACCTCATGTTTCCCCATCCTCCACGTCCTGAAGCTTAGGGACCTCCTGAGCATGATGCTGAAGAACACCAATACCTCATCTGTTATCTTTCTGGATTAGCAAATGAACAGATACTCAGATCTGCCACACATTATAGCAGAGCCCTATGCTAAACTCTCAGGCAATTCTGTAACACATGAAATCTTTTCCTCATTAACTTGTAGGCCTTAATTGCTCTCCAAACATGGGACTATTGCCTGAATACATGTACCATGTTTTGAGCAGCAGAAAGGGGACAGTAGGTACCTAAATGGCAAATGGCGCCCTTTTTATACTAAGGTTGCAGCCACTTGGCTTCTCCAAAGGCAAAAGGGTGAGCACTACACAGGACAGGCTGCTACAATGGGTTTTAAACCTCCGTTGCTGCAAAAGACTCTTACACCTGGTTCTTCACCACTTCCTGAAGTACCACCTTATATGTTACAAGACTGAGTGACCAAATTTCTCAATACCCAGGACCACAAATAAACTTAATCTCAGCACTATAATGAACACTGGGAGTTCTTATTGCCTCCCTCCCCACCCCTCACAATCTTGAAATGCTGCTGACCAGTCTGAAGTTGACATATTTTACTGAAATCACCTGATAAGAAACAGAAGGGGAAAAACACAGAGGATGAAATAAGCACTTACCAAGCACAATGACCACAGTCTTCAGGAGACTCATCATGGTGTCCCGATTCCTGCGGGGTCCAGAACTGTGTCTGGACATTCTCATAGTCCTTTGACGGACATACCCAAAGATATGAGCGTATAGGACTACCATGACCACAAAAGTGACGAGGTTGAAAATAGCCCAGAAGACCAGGTAGGAGTCACTATAGAGCGGTGCCATGTTGGAGCAGTGAGTGATATCACAAATACAGTTCCAGCCGACACTTGGTATGGCACCCATTACAATGGCCATAGTCCAGATAACAACAATTACGACCACCACTCGCCGGTTGCTCATCCGAGTATGTAGCTGCATACGGAAGACTGTAATGTGCCGCTCGATAGCAATGGCCAACAAGTTGGCCACAGAGGCTGTCAGGCTAGTGTCAATGAGACCCTGACGAAGAAGCCAGGTGCTTACAGTTAATCTTCTAGTGTTGGGTCCTGTGTTAAACATTAAGTAAAAGTAGGCCAGACCTGCAAAAAAGTCTGCTGCAGCTAAGTTGGCCATTAAGTAATAAATAGGAAAGTGGAATCGGCGGTTAACATAAATAGCCACCATAACTAAGAGGTTGGCCAGCATTATGAAGATGCAGACGGTAATCCCCAGGCCCATTACAAGCTTGCTGACAGTGTTCCATTCAGTGGCTAGATATTTTCCACTTCGGTTATAAAAGAAGGCAATGGTTTCATTGTAGTAGCACTGTGGTTCACTCATGGCTGTGGACTGAAAAAAGAAGAGGGAAAAAAAAAAGAAAGGCATCAGAACTGAAAACATTCCAGTGACCATACAATTGCCTCCATGGATAAAGCATGCACAGAAAGTAGGGAGAGGCACTGAAGGCAGGAAGAGAACACGCTTAAGAACAAATTTATTTTTTCAGAAGAAATCACATTCCACAAGTTGCAAACAATTGCTCTTATGAGTATAGTAACAGCAACCGGATCAGAAACAACTACAAATACCTTCATCTGCTCTGCAAACTAGAATGATTTCTGACGTAGCTGTGAACTATGCAGTAAAAGTAAGAACTTCTGGCCAAGCAGACCCACTGAAAAATTCACTTAGATATTATGAAATGCAGTTAGTTCATAATCCAAAAGAAGTTAACTGTTACACAGCATCTTATTTACGTTACTAGTGCATAAGACTATTGTTTGGCTGTAGTTGTGTTAAAAGAACTGCTCCTCAAAGAGGAGGAAATTGATTCCTTTTCCCAGCAGGTTCTGACACATTCATTTGACCTTGGTCTCCACCAAGGACATGGCTTGTTCTCCTGCTGTGTTAAAAACACGGACGAGTCCCCTAAATTAAGACTGTCCATATGCTCTAAAAATGTAAATTCCCTGGGCCAGTGGTCACGTCTGCTCTTGAGGCCATAAAGCACCAAGTTTTGTGATGAACGATAAAAAGAGCATGACACTGTACTTCTAGGAGTGTTCTTCATTTTCCATTAGCCACATTTCACTCCTTTACCACTGTGCCTTTCCATATAACTTATCTGACCTGATTTATTCCAGTTTGGAGTAGAGGAATGAGGCAAGGAAAGAAGAATGCATTCTTGCCTTAACAGTGTTAAAAATATCAAACTTTATTTTTTGTACTAGTATTGTTACGGCTATGTCATGAAATACATGATTAATTTTCCTTTCAGAGTAGTCTGCTTAGTACTGTTAAAGGTGCAACAAACCAGCCCCGTATCCCATTAGAACATAAAAGTTTTGCTTCTTTCTATAAAAGCCTTGGCTGAGAAGAAAATGCTTAACAAGTTTCCTTCCTAATTTATTATCAATTATTCCAGGTGCAATTCCCAAAAGGCAAACCTTGTGGCAAATAGGGGGGAACACCCTTCACTCCCCCAAACCTCTGAACAACATGCTGGTTCCTTGTTTAGGATGGTTTAACCAAGAGGGCGGGAAATGAAAAGCAAAAAATTATGTCAGAAAAATCTCTCTGTCTAAAGAGACTCTGGAGACCTGGCTTTCAAGCCCAACACACCAGTTTTACGGCTGTGGAACTCTGCTGACTGCACTCTGATTTTTATAAAAAGAGGAGCAGTTTTAGAACCGAAGCAGGTAATAAGCCTAAGAAAAGAACAGATCAACAACATTAAAAGATAAGAATCTCTTCCCATTAAAGCAAGTGACACCTCCAAACTCCCATCTCTTGGACAGCTCCAGCCATGTAGAAAACTCTAGGGCTAACCTTACTTGGATGCTGAAGCTAAAAAGCTGCACAATAGGGAAACAGAATTTGCCATCAGACCCAAGTGGAAATGGTATCTGATAAAGTCTTCCTTGAAATTACCAAAAGGTATTTCAGGTTTTTTGTTCATTCGCATCTCTTTGTCAACAAAATCAAGCCAACTCCAATAAAGCAATATACAAAACTTTCCACATCTATCCTAAATGTGTTACAGGATAAGTAGATTTCTGTTAAAGAAGAAAAGGTCTTTTTAGCATGATTTTAACTCTAACTTAGCATGGATCAGAAATATTTGCAGACCCAGGATAATAAAAACCTAGAGCAAATACTGTTTCTCAGCACACTGACTATAAAATTTTTATTGTTCCTCTAGGATATATCAACCCTTAAGTCAGAAACCTTTCGGTCTTAATTATTTATGAATTTTAAAAGTGCTCATGTGAAGTCTCTGCTCCATAGAAAAACTGATTTACAAGGGATACTTAACAAAAGGAGACCTAGCTACAAGACATCTGGCTTTAATTCTTTGCTTAAAGACTGTATGGTAATAATAGGTCAAGTAAAAGAACCCTTGAGGGAGAGAGGAAGTCATAGGAATGAATTAGTGGCGCTTATAAGGCTTGCCAACATCTGCATTAATTATGTGAATGCCCTGTTTTTTTGCTCTCTACAGGAATATCTGGATGCAGTCTGATAGTCTGCATTATACAGGAGGTTGGGATTCCAAAATCTAGTGGACTTCTGTGATCCTGAATAAATTCTATCCTTGTGTATTTACTGATACAAATTTTGCTTTCAGATGCCTGCTGCCCATATTTAACAATTCCTCCTCCACTGTTGCTGCTCTGGAAGGAGACTAGCTGCACCTGAAAAAATACATATTTTAAGTTATTTCAGAAATTTAAAATGTGGTAGCAATCACGTTTTTCTTTTTCGGCTTTGTTTTACACATAGGCTTAGAATGTGAAATAACCTCTGGTTTCATGATATCCTCACCACCTTTTTTGTTTGAGCTCTGAAACAAGATATGATAAAATAAACCTTCCTGTAATATGAACTTGTAACTGTAGTGCATTTGTTTTATTCACAAAATGCCAAGCCAGGGCTGAGTGTGTGCGACGTACATAATAAACTACATAGTTTGACTTGTTAATTCCAAAACATGACGGCACCTACTTCTGTAGTTCTGAAGATACTAGAACACATCACTCTGCTTGTGGAAGGGGTTTTGAGAGAAGTTTTCTTTTCAGGGCATGCTAATCTGAAATCTGGAATCTCCATTAAGAGCAATCTCTTCAATCCCAAGGGAAAGAAAAAGCATTTTCACACAGGTGTTTGCTCTTGAGAATTGAATTGGAAATTGATTCATGTCCACTACTGGAGTTTCAAGACACCACAATAAACAAGCCCATTTATGCCTCCAATAAGGTATAGTTTGCTGACAGAGTTCAAATGAGGGACTTCCAGATGATCAGCTATCTCTAGTTCTAGCAGATATCTTGCTCAGCAACTTTAACCTCCCAGCTTTCATACATACAGATTCCAAGGTATCACATTTACCCATAGTACTGCTATCTGACTGCAAAGGCCCAAGCAAGAGGGAATATAATTTATCTTTGAATAGCAAAAGTATTAACATTCCATAATGGCGTATGCAAGCAGGCAGACCCTTCCCCTCTCCTGCTCCTGAAGGAAAAGGGGCAGGGACGTTTATATTTTAATTTCCTGAAGTCTCAAGTCTCAAGCAGTGTGTTTCATTGCCTGGGTAAGTCAGATGTTCAGTGCCCTGAGATTTACCTCATCCATTTAGTATATCTCAACAGAAGTTTAAAGCAAACTCAGCTGTAAACTGCCCATGCTAACGAAACCTCTAGGACACATTTGTGTAGGAGAAAAAGATATCTGAATTATAAACTAAACATGACAGATAAAGCAAACTGGAATAATAGCAGGCTAAAATCAAAGTTTCTTTCAATCAGAAGGATGATTTAATTCTCAGGACATGGTTGTCCCAAAAGAAAGAACAAGACAATCCTGAGTTCAGGGAGTTAAACCTCTTCAAAACATGACAGCTAGCTATAACCACAATATGGTGCAAGAACGTCAGGAAATTCAGCACCGAGACTTAATAAATAAAACTCACTGTCCTTCTAAAGTTAACACCCAGTCATCTTCTGGCAAGAACATCAGCTTGGCACAGGCCTTTCCAATCCCTTTCTCTTGTACTTGTCCCTTTGGCACCTCTCCAAACACGACAAGAACTGCCATCTGGTCATGGTACGGGACACCACTGGGGTGGAAGTGGGAGAGTCTGGGAAGACGAGCCTGCATAAACTGCTTTCGCTGTAGTGTTTCATGCTCAAGAAATCTTGCCGTTGCCCCAAACCTCCAGCCTAGCTTAAAGAGCAGGGTAAGGAATTGGCAAGCTGTAGATTTAAGGAATTGGGGGAGGTTGGCGAGAAGCCTATTACCCCCTTTTCCTTTCAGGGAAGTGGAGAAGGTCCTGGCTGCCTGGAGCAGAAACTAAAGAGAGGAGCTCTGGATCCTGTGAGCTTGGTGGTGAGTGAGAGTCCACTGGTAAGGACTGTGAGCAGAGAGATGCTTCGGATGAAAAACCATCATTGACAAGTTTTCAAACATCGTAGATTGATATTTTCTGAAGGAAGCATTAGTTAACACACAGTTTCAGAAGGCCAAATGATCAGCTTATAAACCCCACGGGGACCTGAGAGGTTGCAGAGTTCAACAGCACACAAACCAAAAATGAGCCACCCAGTCCACCTAGGAGAGTGGAAAAAAAAGAAAATCTCCAACATACGTCGGTACGTTTATTTCTCACTGCAAGAAACAGAGCTGAACATTCTTAGAATACTGAAGTTTGACTTCAGCAGAGTTTTCAAAACTTGGAAGCCACAAAAATGTTTCCATATCCAAGAAAACTCCTAAATATTTTAACCCAAAGCTCTCTAAACACTGTCAGCTTCTCTCCTCTGCCCCTTTACTGAATTAACCTTGACATGCTGCCGTTTTCTTTCCCAGAATACACAGAAGAGATGAAAGCAATTTATTTGGTAAGGAAGTTTGAAGAACTTGAAAATTCTGCATACAATGCAATGCCAAATGCAAGTCAGAGAGCTGAATTTTGCAAAAGTCATCCGACTTGAAGTTTGTGAGAATCGGAGTAGACTCATCCTATATAGGATGAGCTCTTAATTCAGGGGCAGCTACACTTGGATCCCGAAAATAACATTTATCATTCTCAGCGTTCTCCAGAAATCCAAAAATCATTTCAAAGGAAATGCAGAACTGGAAATGGTAGGCTAGGATGCCAAAACAGCAATAGGTGGTTCACAGCCCTGCATTTAGCACAGAGGAGAACCGAAAAGCAGTAGCACTGCTTTGAGTTTAGCTAAACACTCTGAAATTCATCAACATTCCAGGAAGGCTAAGCTTAAAAAATTGGGGGAACGGCCAACTTCAAAATCCCCAAATAAGGACATCAATTAAGAATATCTTTAAAA